CCAGCAGCTGCTCGCCAGGGCGGCCACATCGGGCCTCGGCGTCGGGGCTCCCGCGGGCCTCGCCATCGAAGCGCCACAACAGCTGCCGCACAGAGGGCGAGAGGCTCTGCCAGGACCAGCCGGCTGACGTGGAGGCAGCGCCGAAGGAAGCTGCGCAGCTGGGTGAGCACCACTGCCGCCCGACGGGCTCCTCTGCCATGATCCACCTCTCCAGGCACTGCAAGGATAGGCTCCTCCTGGCTGGGGTGCTCCAGTCGCTTGCCCAGCCTCACCCTCCGCCATGGCCAGCCCCACACCCACCACCTCGGCTGCCCACCAGCCGGCTGACGTGGAGGCAGCGCCGAAGGAAGCTGCGCAGCTGGGTGAGCACCACTGCCGCCCGACGGGCTCCTCTGCCATGATCCACCTCTCCAGGCACTGCAAGGATAGGCTCCTCCTGGCTGGGGTGCTCCAGTCGCTTGCCCAGCCTCACCCTCCGCCATGGCCAGCCCCACACCCACCACCTCGGCTGCCCTACGCCACCATCTGGGGCCCGTCACCGGCCACCATCCGCCGGTTCGGTTGCAGCCGGGCCGGAGAAGGGGGCTGGAAGGGGGTAATTGGACAGCCAGGGACCCCCTCTGGGCAGAAGAGGAAGAAAAGGAGGAGGAGGAGGGAAGGGGTGAGGGTCACGTCCTCATTACCCCCAGGGTATTCATTTTTACCCCATTTGGGTAAAAATACCCATATTCTGCAGTCACCCATTAACCACTAGTTGCATCTTTCTCCAAAACCTAAAAAGTTGGCAGACTTTGTTAAAAATGTCAGAGAGAGTCACAGCAGGGACAGGAGCAAGAAGAGGGTCACGAGGGTGCAAGCTGTCTCTCAAACAAGCTGCATCAGGACCCTTTAGCCAATTAAGACTTTACAATATGAGGCTGGGTAACCAGTTATATCACTCAGTATATGGCAGCTAAAATGGGTCACATAACAGAGCAAATCATACTTACATCCTGGCAATCCAAGAGTAGTGACATTGCCTCCTTCTCCCTACTCCCAAATGCTATCCACAATTGCTTTTCATTGCTGATCCCTCTCTTCTCAGCCAGTTATCCTCACTCATTTCCCAAACCTCAGAGTTCCAGCACTGCCCATATTTAGTCCGAAATTTAAGGAATTCAGTTCACAGAACTTGCTTCCAAGAAAACATGCTTGGGAGCATAAAGGATAAATAATAGGTTGTTCTGGGTTTTTCGGGCTCTTTGGCCGTGCTCTTAAGGTTGTTCGTCCTGATGTTTCGACAGTCTCTGTGGCCAGCATCTTCAGAGGACACCAGAGCACAGGTTGCTGTCCTCTGAAGGTTCCAGCCACAGAGACTGGCAAAGCATTAGGAAGAACAACCAACAGAACATGGCCAAAGAGACCAAAAAACCCACAACAACCATTAGATCCCGAAAGCCTTCGCGAAGGTAAATAGTAGGCTTTATAAGTCAGCATTAGCAACCTTTATTGGTCTGGATGCTGTGTGCAATAGGGTAACCAGCTACTAGATTTCAAGAGCCACCCAAGACTAGCATCCTAGCTATAATGCGACTAACCTTGAAATCTGGCAGATTATAAGTACCATTGATTTCCATAATTTAGGCAATATAAATCTCTATTCCTTGAACTTCAAATCTCTATTTTCAGAAAATATGTTATTTTTTGCATCTGGTAATGGGAAAAAAATCAACAATGAAACAAGCAGCCACTAAAGAAATCAAAACTAAACAAATCAGCCCACTCATGAGATGCATGTGATGTACAGTCCATCTAATGTCCAATGACACTTGCTGATCTTTCATACAACACAAGATTCTGTTATTTCAGCTGCAGAGACCGGCACAGGTCCCCTCGCAACATTTATAAAGTAATGTTAAAATGGTTAAATTTTCATGAGGGACACAGAAGGAGCCCCCCTGCAGAAATGTCAGGACTGTTGGCACATTCAGACATCTCCTGGGCAAGAACAAGAGCCTATCAGAGGATCCTTCCATTCTGGAATCACCACTGGATTGCTTCTGTCACAAAGGACAAACTCTATTGGATTTAAAAGACCATTTGGCAAATTTGTCTTAGAACTTTGATAAAAATCTGAAAATGCCCAAACACCAGAGAAGCAAGTAGGGGAAAAGAAATAGTCTCTACTTACAGTTATGTGAACACTGAGGAATGATCATTGCAATGTTGAAATACTCAAAGCATATTCCACACCGCAGCAAATTATCCACTTCCTGAAACAGAATTGCAAAAGTTTAGTTTTACTGATATGGGACAACATGAAAATTCAGATTATAACAAAACAGAGCCATTTACAGAAAGAATATATTGCTATTTTAAAAGAAATGATAAGGGTCAAATATGTTTACTGCCGTTTTTACAGCACTGTAACATAGTATAAGCCAGACTTCCTCAACCTTGCACCTCTCCCAATATGTTAGACTGCAACCCCCATCACCCCCAAACTGCATGGTGATACTGGCTGGGGCTTATGAAAGTTGCAGTCCAACCACGTTTGAGGATATTAGTATAAGGCATATGCATATATGACTTCAGATCCTCAGAGCAGGTTCTTCTCTTAGTTCCTTACTAGACATATTTAGAAAGACGCTCAAGTGGTGCTGGCAGTGTTATTTTACCATTACATATAAAAAAAATGAAGAGTACTAGAATAAAGCAATTTATTCCTGCATCTGTTGGGATTCTTTTTGTAGTTTATTTTATTATACTCAGGCATTTTGACATGTTAAATCTGGTTTGTGTTCTGCTTGTTTTCAGTACTCAGTACATCTATATTATGTTTATTCTTATGCTATTTAATAGTTTATTATATTGCATTTGTAGATTTGTAATCTTTTAAAGCCATTACCCATTTGGTATTAGTTAAGTATTTTAAAATACTTCTAATAAATAATGCACAATTCAAACAAATTAGAATTCATTATTTAGAAAGCACTCTACAAAATTTTTTAAAAGGCAGACTCCGAACACAACCTTACAAGCACCTCTCACAGAACAAACTGAATTCTGCCCAGCAGTTGCACCAGGCTCTGGAACTCCTTGCCAAAAGGGGCTATCCTTCGATATCTCCATTATCCTTCTAAAGTCTAAGGATGTGTCACTAGAAATCAAGACCAAGATTATCCACAAACTAGTATTCTCAATTACTGTGTGAAAGCTGGATAATGAAGAAAGCTTAAAGCTCCGTTGATTGGCTCATCTGACATGTGATGTTGAAGGCAAGCTTTATAGATCTCATGGAGCACCAAGGGGACAAATAAATAAATTGGTTGTAGGTGACATCACGCCTGAATTGTTACTAATAGTTAAAATGACTAGACTGAGGCTATCAAACTTCAGACATATCATGAGAGGTTAAAACACACTACTTAATTGTGGGAAAAGTTGAACAGCGTAGGAGAAAAGGAAGACCAAGCATGAAACGGGTTGGATTAATGAAGAAAACCAAAATCTTCAGTTTGTGACAGGACATTTTAGAAGTCATTAATTCAAAGGGTTGACAGCATGTAAAAACAATTTGGGGATAATGCTAATGATTTATTGGTCACCTATAACCCCAGAGATTAATTTAATAGAATACTGTATTCAAGTTGTGGAATAGCTGCCCAATAAGGAAGCCAAATTCTATAACATTAACTGAATGTTCCTTTGAGTTTCAAAGCAGTTTCTGCAACCTGGTGACCAGTTACAACTTCAGTTGTAGTTCTTTCAGTATCTTAATTACAAACAGTATTCACAAACCCAATTAGCATCATACACTGACACCATCATCCATAATCACACATGAAGGCCTGGACCCCAAAAGTTGCATATTTGTAGGAGTAGCTATAAAGGGAAAATCTACATTGTTTTCCAGCCATGTGAGATTCTGTATTAGGGATGGGCGACTTGTGGCCCTGCAGGTAATGATTGAACCTCAGATGCCAATATCACTCACCACCGGCCATATTGATTAAGACTTATGTAATCTAACAACACATGGAAAATGATAGATTTCCTGCTACTGATAACCTGATTATTTTGTTGCCTTCATGGCTAGTGCTGTAAAAAGAGCCAATCATTATTTGATGAACAGCTGACCAGCCAATTCATCAAATCTCTTTTGACCAGTCAAGTGGCTGACCCTGATCATAACGCAAAGCTGAGGACTGTTACATAATATAAGCCCGCCTTGCAGATTTATATCCTCCGCGGCGGGACTCTTCGGAACTGACGCCATGAAGAGACTCTTCTCTTCCGGGGGAGGGAGGACAGCTCTTCGGTGAGAAGGAGAAAAGATTCTGCACATGCTCAGGGGCACTCTTCTACACCGTTACAGCATCAGCTTAAAGAAGGTGGGCCACCTGGGTCCTGGTTCCACGGCGGCGCCCTGCTCCAAGCGACTGCTAAGCTCCTTCCTCGCCCCGTCGTCAACCGGACTCCTCTCCGCCCCTTTACTTACTTTCAGCGGCACCAGGCACTCAGGCCACTGGAGCTCGGCCGAAGAGGAAGACATGAGGCCCGGCGCCCACGGACTGAACTTAACGCCCGGACGCACACCTGCCCCCGCCAAACCGCCCACGGGACTCCAAATCACCCGCGCTCGTCGCCTTCCTCGCGGGAGCTAGATGTCAAAAAGAACCTCACTTCCGGGTCGACCGCTGAGCCTGCTGGGCAATGTAGTTTCTGGTCCCCACGGCGCCTCCTCCCGTGGTTCTGAAGTACTGTATTCTTCACCTGACACTCTCCAGATGTGTTGAGCGAGAAGCTCCTCATCCCTCCCAGCCCTCATGGTGGCGGGTGGGTGGCTGTGGTCCCACACGCGCCTGGAGGGGAAGCTTCAAAAAGTTACTTTTCCGACCTCTGTTTGGACAGCAGGGTGTTGGGAAACGCCAAGGACGTAGGGAAAGTCATAAGAACGATGCTTTGTTATGAATTTTGGGAGAATTTAACCTTCAAGAGTGTATTACCATACTTCCAAGTACTCGTGGAAACAAGTGCTGCCCCCCTCCTTTTTTATGGGACTATAAATCATTGGTGCCTTATGACATGTATAAATCTCAAAATATCTCATCTAATAATCAGGGGCAGACCCTCTGGTGAGGGGGGAAGCTGGTATATTTAGTCCAGGCCTTATCTCCAAGAGGGGGCTTCACCCCAGTCATACTGTTATGCATTCTATCAATATTTTTTCACATAACATTCTGTACATTAATATTTTAACCCCCACCCAAGTAAAAGCTTTCCAATGGTGCAGGCTCAGATTTCTCCCCAGTTGACCCTAGAAATACTAAAATCTTAAGTACATGTCCCTTTTCCTTAAGGAGAGACAAGGACAGTTCATAGATATCACCTTCCAGGTGTATGTGCTTTTCCCAGGACTAATGCTGGAATTAAAAACGTGTTGTACATCCAGATCTTATTTTATTTTTTTATTTTATTTTATTTTATTTATATCCCGCCTATCTGGACTATAAGTCCACTCTAGGCGGCATCTTTCTGGTATAATTCCTCTATGTATTGCATTCAATTTTCTATAAGTTTCCCTATCTCCCTTGCATTTTTTTTCCCTTCTTTTCTCTGCTATTTCTAAGGACTCGTTGGACAGCCATTTTGCTTTTTTTTGCATTTCCTTTTCTTTGGGATGGTCTTTGTTGCTACCTCCTGTACAATGTTACGAGCCTCTATCCAAAGTTCTTCAGGCACTCTGTCCACCAAATCGAGTTCCTTAAATCTGTTCTTCACTTCCACTGTGTGTTCATAAGGGATTGGTTTAGATTATACCTGACTAGCCCAGTGAGGTACTTTCTCTCAGTTTAAGCTTGAGTTTTGCTATAAGAAGCTGATGATCAGAGCCACAATCAGCTCCAGGTCTTGTTTTTGCTGACTGTATAGAGCTTCTCCATCTTTGGCAGCAGAGAATATAATCAATCTGATTTCGTATTGCCCATCTGGTGATGTCCATGTTTAGAGTTGCCTCTTGTGTTGTTGGAAAAGAGTGTTTGTGATGACCTTGTTCTCTTCACATAACTCTATTAGTCTTTGCCCTGGTTTGTTTTGAACTCCAAGGCCAAACTTCCCTGTTGTTCCTTTTATCTCTTGACTCCCTACTTTAGCATTCCAGTCCCCTATAATGACAAGAACATCTTTCTTTGGTGTCATTCTAGAAAGTGTTATAAGTTGCAGATTTTTCCCCCAGGTTCTATTATCATGTATTCTATTCCCCGCTGTGCTTCCTATGGATAGAGCCACCCTGTGTGGCCTTGGGCAAGCTGCACAGTCATAGGATGCCTCCAGAAGAAGGCAAAGATAAACCACTTCTGAGTATTCTCTATCTAGAAAACCTTGAAAAGGTTCACTATAAATCAGAATTGACTTGCCGGCAGATTATTATTATTAAATTCAGTGGAACTTATTGCCATGGGAGTCTGAATTGACTCAGATCACATGTTAGGGTAAATGCATCTTTTCGTCTCTTACAACAGGCCAAAGCACAGAAGCCAAGAACTTGTTTCTAGAAGCGCTCCTTCCAAGAGCAAAATGACTTAATTCTGTAAACCATTAAACACAGAAGTATGTGTCTCATCAAAATTATTTCTGGACAGTAAACAACAGCTTCCTTTTCATGTAGAGAGTCATGCATAACACCACAAATCACATAACTAGGAAGAAAATATGATTTGCTAACTTTTACCAACCCTGCTCTTGGGTATATTCAATGAGAAGATGAGATAAAAGTATTTGAAATTAATACTTTGGAGGTTACCACAGGACTGATCACCATAGTGGAGTGACTCCTCTGTCTGATAGAGGTTGCAGCTACGCCCCTTGGACCTTTTTCAACAAAGCTGCATCAGTGAATATCCCACAGACTGTGACCTCATCCTACAGTTGGAACACAACATTTTACAGAACAGGTTTGACCATCATCTCTGTGGACGGTAATAATAAAAACTGTGTGCCATGAAGTCAATTTTGATTCATGGAAACCCTTTTCTGGGTTTTCTAGGTACTGAATATTCAGAAGTACTGTACTTTACCATTCCCTTCTTCTGGGGTCATCCTGGCTGCGTGCATCTTGCCCAAAGCCACACAGGCTGGCTCTTCTGGGATGTATGGTGTGGAATCAAATTCCCAATCTCTGGCTCCACAGCCAGAAGCCTAACTCACTGAGCTATAAGTAAGCCCCCAACCAAATGCATCTCCAAGGTTTTGGTACTAAATCTATGAAGATATTCCAAGATACATTGATGTGCTTAGTACATGAATGTATTCCATATATTCATGTACTAAGTACATAAGGACATATTCATCATCAGCATCCTCCTCTCCTTTGCAGCTGCCCAGCAGGCCTCCTTATCACCATCTGCTTTTGTCCAAAAAACTGGCATTTCATCTTTTGTACCCAAAGCACTTTAAAAAAAATGGCCAGCACATGGCAGCTGCTACTTGATTAGATTAATCTGGAAAGGGTTCTGACATTAACTAACAGCGAGGTGCCAGTTTATATTTTGTGCATCTGCTTTGTGGCATTTCACCTTGTCCTTTGAGAGCCTTTCCCTCTCACTTCACCTACCACAGTAGCTGTGATAGGAAAGTTCCTTATCTGAGTCACGCTATAGTTACAAACTCACAAGCTGCTGTTTCTCAGTCTTAGTTCCAAATCTGCAATATGAGTTGGCAATAAGCTAGCCTGCTTTTGACAACACTAACTAAATTCTGCAAACTACTTTGAACATTCCAGAGTGCTATAGTTGGGCCTAATTCTAATTAATTTATTGAATACCATTTTTTTTTATTTTAAAAACTCAAAGCAATTTAAAATAGAAAAATAAAGAAAAAATACAATAAAATCAATTAATGAATAATAAAACAATGGAAAGCCATTAAATTCACCAGCTTAAGGATCAGAAAAAATGGTTGGTTAAACTGGTATGAGATTTTTCAGTGGTAGAAGGACAAAGCTATTGCACATTGGGCACATTGCGCAAAGACAAGATTCACTGGAGGAGATAATATTGAGGAAAACTGAAGGCCACAGGAAAAGCAGAAGACCAAATATGGGATGGATTGACTCAGAAAAGGAAGCCACAGCCTTGAATTTACAACAGTTGAGCAAGGCTACTAATGATATGATGTTTTGGAGGTCACTAATTCATTGGATTATCATAAGCCAGACACAACTTAATAGCACATAAAAACATTGAAGGAACCCACATGTGAAGACTCATCTCACTGGAGAGATCATTCCTCATTGTGGGCATGGCAATGCACAGTAATCAAGGGAACCTCACTAGGCCATGGTATGGTTAGTAGAACCTCCCGCTCAAAGGTAACAACCTGGGCTAGGGTCAGTGACTCTAAGAAAGACCCTAGTCTTTTCCAGACAACAGTATTACTCTTGTTATTTTGGAGATTTTTATCCTACACAGAGACAACATTTAAATACAAATTCACAATGACAATAAAGTTTCCCTTTTTATATAAGAATGTACAAAAACCATGCTTCCCTGACACAAAAGGTACCTTTTACTTGATTTTGTAAGATTCTGGTATCAGACAAGCATCTATGGATAAAATATTAAGCTAGCATCCATATCCTTCTCCAAGGCATAGAGCAGAAAACAAACAAGCAGTCATTTTCAGGAAGCAATGTCACCATCTGAATGGGTTCCCATGGATAGGGAGTGCACATTTTTCTAGCCCTCTGGTGAAGTTTCTTACATGTCCACCTGTAAACCTTGAATGGATTACTATGCCGGTGTTGGGACAAGGAGAAGCCTGATGTTCTGACCAGCTACCTTTGTAAAAGATCATCAGTGTTCAGTTTGTTTCTATCCCTTTGACTGTGGTCCCTAAGAAATGATTTTTACCACCACCTTGGTTGGTCCAAACCCTCCTGCTTCTCCAAAATATACTGAGAGACCTCATTCAAGATCATCCAGAGTTGCCATCCAATTTATTTCCAAATGTGTTGCAAAGTTATACATATGGAATGTCCACAACAGCTTGTTCTTTCCTTCACAAAGTCTTCTCCTTGGCAGACCACTGAGTTGCCCCAAGAAGTTCAAAAGTCATCCTAGCATCCAGGAGACAAACCTGCTGAGTCAGTACAGGAATTGCCATAGCTTTGTTTGCAATGCCTCTTCATGCCTAATAGCAGTAATTCCCTCAGACCATTACCTCCAGAGCACTTCTTGGTCTTAATTGTTGTGCCATTACATTTATAAGCAAGAGCCCTGCCATTAATCACTTAACATACTTTACTTTCATTAGCTGTTGCCTTGCATGCAATGTACTTGCCCATACAGTCACATTATTATGTTAGTATAGCCCACAGGGAGGAAATACACAGTGCAAAAAGTATGTTTCCCAACCAACCATAAGGGTGGAAAGGAATGAGTGTTAGCCCTTTAGCCCTGCAAAGCCATCAGTCAGGAGGGAGGGCTCTACGGCCCTTCAGCTGCCACTAATCTCGCCAGTGTAACAGATGCAGTCAAAGGGCAGCTCCCCATGGGCATTTTTACACTGCTGCTCACCCAAAGCCACACCTATGACCCCAATGGCATTTTTTAAATATTTTTCACTCTTAGAAGTCTGCAAGCATGACACATGTTTGTGTTAGGGATATTTGTGGTT